GCCTGTTGAGGACGGCAGGGTGGTGTGGACCAAAGATAATGGGAGCTGCGGGTGATGAGCTCACGGGGTCGTCCTGAAAACTAATGGGGAAACAGCCTGAAGTTTGAGGGCTGCTTGAAGTAGTTTGTTACTTTGGCTCCGTTGGTGGGTGCTTAAACCCCTGCCTGAGCTCGGGTCGGGGAGGAAATGCAGCTCTACGTTGCAGGTGGAACAAAGGAATACTCCAGAAAATGTTTGTGTGCTGACCCAAACCACCTGTGTGGACCAGGTGCCTTCTCAGCATGGGGCTGTGGTGTGGGCAAGCAGGGAAGCCTCACCTCTCAGGCTTTCCTGCCCTTGCGCTGCCCTCTCTGGACCTGCTCAAGCAGGGCTGCTTCTGATGCCTCCTCCTGCTCTGATGCCTGCTCTGGAGGGTTTCAAGCCTGTGCCATACAGGTGTGGGTGCAATGATGCAGGTGAAATGAGAGCTTCGGTGTCAGCTACTGTGGGAGCTCTGCGTATTCTGCAGAGCTGGATAGCAGCACTGGGACTTGCTAACAGAAAGGTAATCCTGGGAGCCTGAGCAGTATGAGGGAGATACAGCTGAGCAGACTGCCGTAAGTTTCCCAGCCCCTGAGCAAGCTGGACTTTTCACATAATGCTGCAATATTCATAAATAAATGCAGTCAAACTACCTGGAGGAATAATTAAGTGCTGTTAATTATCCATTAGAACCACCCTCCTAAGGGTGCTTAGGCACAAGGCAGAACTAATGTATCATCTGCTAAAAGGAAAAGGATGAAGAGGTTGAGAACAAAAGGGTAAATCCTGATTTAAGCATCACAGCTAGAGCTACAGCACAGCTAGAGGACAGCTGGTAAGAGCCTGTTTCCTCCTTTCAAAGTGAATGAAGAAGAGGTGATGTTTCTACGATTGTTGCGTCTTATTAGCAGCATGTGGTAGGTGATGTATTTTATAACTTGCTAGCAGATTGTGATGTTGGAGCACTGAGGTGAGTACAAGTCATGAATAAAATCGTGTTTAACTACAGTGTTATTGAAACTGAGGGAAGCCCAGGAATCCTGATGCAATGTTTGCTAGATGTACAGAGGATCTGTCCATCTGTGCGTATCACAGCTCATGGGGTATTCCTCGCGTTGTACAGGAACATGGTAGAAAAAGCAGGCGGGTGAGTCAGAGAAACGGATCAGATCAGAGTGGCAGGCAGAAGGCCTTTCACCTAGAGGCGTGTCGCCACGTAGAAGTCCCAGTTGCTGCTTTGGAGGTAAAAGTGTGGCCCTGATGGAGAGGCTCCCAAACCTGGCCTGTG